TTAAAGAAAACGTGTCGGATCCTTAAGTTAGAGTTGGCCTTTTTTAACGGGCTTTTAGATTATTGATTATGTTGTTCATCCAACTTCAAGACCCGCATGCAAAGACATGAAAAGCTGAAAAGCTGAAAAGGTTCAACACGGCGTTTTGTTTTCAACTTGTTTTAACTGCCGTCAGAAGACACTGCTTAGTAAAACCGTTTGTAGTAGCCAGTCCGTGGTCTTGAATCTGTCAGAGTGGGAGGCACACTCGAGTAGACACCTGGGTCTCCTTATTCGTTCTCATACGGGCTGCCACCTTGATTCTTGGTTTTCTAGAGGAAGAAAGAGAGAGACAGAGAGAGAGAGAGAGAGAGAGAGAGAGAGAGAGAGAGAGAGAGAGAGAGAGAGAGAGAGAGAGGAGGGGAGAGAGTGGGAGTAGGGGGACGGAGAAAGAGTGAGGGTGACGGGGGTAGGAGAGAGAGAGAGGCGGGGGGAGGGAGAGAGAAAGGGGGATGAAGGAGGATAATGAGTTTTCGATATCTTCTTGAATCTCCACCACAGAGGAGCCAACGTTTTGATCTTAATTCTTGGATCTCTAACAACCACGGAGGAGCAGAAAAATATTGATACCGTACTGCTAGAATCGACAAGTAATATCGTAATCTATATATCTAATTGCGTACATGTGGATGGTTGTTTTCTATAGCTGAACAAACTACGGAACCTAGAACCCTTAAACAATTACTGAAGGTAGTTCAAAGACCAAGTTTCCGTCAATTCAGTAAAGGATTGCATTCGCCTACAAAATTTGAAAAATAGAAAACACTGTCGATTTTTCTTTTCGTCTGTTTAATGCAGTGTTCAAGACATATTTCGTTTTCCATGATATAAAAATCCATAGGCGGATTGCAAATCACGAGAAAAGGACAATTCCTTTTTTTTTAAAACTTCACAAGAAAAATCGACATTCAGATGAGCTGATTCTGATATTATTTTCACGATAAGACGTCTCACTTTTCGACAAATTTGTAAATGAGCATTTCATCGAGGCCAACAGGCAGTCTGAGTACAACCAACCCCATCCCCCCGAACCCCAATAAAAAAAAAAAAATTAAATTAAAAGATAGTTTTCCAGGAAGGATAGACGGACGGAACAAAATGTGTCACGTCGTGATTAAATCAGGCGCTCGTCAATTTTTTTTGGCATATGGGGTTATTGGTATTATCTTAAAGCCGGTTGATTTCCATTCCTTCCGGTAAAAAAAATATCCATCTAAGTTGAATAAAAGTCGAAGTATTTGCGATTGAAGGCGGTCACGGTCACCTGGTTTCAGAAGTAAGATTAGCGAGAAAATTGCGCTCAAAATTTGATAGCTTCCACAGCCCGAGAGTCATTGGAAACTGAAAATTTACATTTTTGTGTGCCTTTAATCAATGTTTTTAAAATAAATCCTCACAAAAATCTGTTTTTAAAAGCAAAAAAAGGCGTTGAGTCAAAAAAAAGAAAGAAAAGAAGAAAAAAAATTGCCCATTGATAACAATTTTTTAAATGCCAATTTCTTTGAATTCATTGCTTTGACGAGCGCCTGATTTCACCACGATGCCTCGCAAATACTGACCAACGAATCCAGCAAATTTTTTTATTACACAGAAGTTCAGCTGAAGGGCAAAAATCGTTCACATTAACTGTGCGTGAAATACTCCCTTTAACCTCCTATTTTACTCCTACTTCTCCTCCTTCTTCTCTCAAAAGTAGCCTAATTCAAAATGTTCTGCTTTGGTTTGTTCTTTTTTAAAGTTCAATGTAACTGTACTGTAAGTATAATGTCTCCTCTTCATCTATTTTACTCCTCTACTTCTTTCTACTCGTCCTCCTGCTCATCGTACTTCTCCTCCTCCTCCTCCTCCTCCTCCTCTTCCTCTTCCACTTCTTTTTCATTCTCCATATCCTTCTCCTCCATCTCTTCCTCCTCTTCCTTATGTTGCTCCACCTCCTCAACCTCCCTCTTCTTCTCCTCCTCCTCCTTCTCCTTCTCCTTCTTCTCCTCCTCCTCCTCCTATTTCTCCTCCTCCTCTTCCCCCTCCTCCTGCTCCTCCTTCTCCCCCTCCTTCTCCTCTTCCTCAATAACAATATCATGTCCCCCTGTAATCCCACTCCCTGTACTGACCTCCATATTCACATAGCCCTCCGGTCCTGTAGAGCTAGCCTGGGTTGACAGATACGAAGCATCCACCTCATCAGCTGAAGAGAAAAAGCTCAGGTCATGTGATCCCTATGGTTTCTGTCTGCCCGTATTGCTCATTATCGGCACTAACTGGCCGTTATTGTGTCGGTGTGCTTCGTTTTACCCAGACAAACCAGCTGTCCCTATAAATCTTAGATATTTTACTATAAAAGTCTGTCTTTTCTACGGGGTCGGTGGAAGGGGGGTGGGGGAGTGCATCTTTTTAATAAGCTTGGCGATAAATAAATTCAATCTAAACAAGAAATATAACAATAAACACGAAAGCAAGGTCAGCAGCAATTATAATTACTTAACAAAAAATACCTACATTATAAGTATTGACGAAAAATGTAGAAAAAAGAAGGGTTGATTCTATGAACGCAAACGATCTGTGCACCTTTATGCATTGCTAGTACATTGTAGTAGATTTTGATACTAACAGAAAATTGTCATGGATATAATATAAGGTTACAGACAGATAGATACATCGATAGATAGATAGAAAGATAGATAGATAGGTAAATAGATAGATAGATAGATAGATAGATAGATAGATAGATAGATAGATAGATAGATAAATAGATAGATAGATAGATAGATAGATAGATAGATAGAAAGATAGGTAGGTTTTCAAAAGTGCAAGAGATCATTCAGACCTAGTTTCTAATGAAATGGCTGTCCTCCAGGATAATAACAGTCAAGGAGTTTATCTGACCCATTTCCATGTGGCTTGACCTTTTCCTTTAGTTCGAGCGTCGGTCGCAACTACGCTAAAGATGTCTGTTAAAGGACGTGGGTTCGACAAGTCATTTATTATAGCAATACGTTTCTGCACACATCTACTTTTTGAACTCACCCTGGAAATACTCGTTCTCAGGTTTCAAGCTCGTGTAAGGATCTGAAACGAACAGGAGAAGCCATCTAAAACGTCACCATCTCTGTCTGTCTATCTGTGTGTCTGTATGTCTGTCTGTGTCGGTCTGTCTGTCTGTCTGTCTGTGTCTGTCTGTCTGTTTGCTTCTCTCTCTCTCTCTCTCTCTCTCTCTCTCTCTCTCTCTCTCTCTCTCCCTCTCCCTCGTTAAAAAACGTCCCCAAAATCACTGATGCGCCCCCTGAGAAAAAGTGTGTACTCCGAGAACAGCTGATCATAGACGGATGAACAGCAGTTGATCTGTCTGGGCATGGGGGTGTCTATAATAATATAATTCTTCTACTGGAACAGCTGCGCCATCTGAGAATAAGGGCGTACGGCGGTGGACGCTTAACATTAAAAAAAAATTTTTGGCTGTTGGCTGAGTGGACCATCTTGTTGTGTTGGAGTTTTGCTATAGTACTGGATTATTGCCTTGATACTTGATACAGAGCGCTCGTCTCCGATGGGGAAAGTCCGGCTTCGAGGCTCGGTTCGGACACGGATTTCTTCGCCCCCTCCTGCCCACCCAGCAGTAATGGGTAACTGACTTCGAGTTGGAGAAGTAAAGGAGACGTGGAAAGGAACTGGCCACCCTACCACAATAATATGCCGAAGGCCCAGGACGTTGTCTCACTAATAAGGCAATCCCCAACGTCCAGATCGGATGCGGGAACAACGTTTTACTTGATACAGAGACAGCACATTATTGTGTTTGCTGACTATGTCCACAGTCCATGTACATCAACGTCAGAGTCACGGTGTACCATCCCTGCAGGTGGGCTGGCCAGTGTATTACAACCAGAACAATACACGCGTGCCCAGCCCGACCCCAAAGTTCTTTTAAAAAAACAACCGCCGCCCAGCTCTAAGTACAGCCCTTCAACCCCACTCCCACGTTGCCCTCTTCATTGGCAAATATGTCACAAGGTGGAATCAGGCGCACGTAAATTGTTCTCATCTGGAGCAATTGATCTTAAAGCGTGTTTATTTGTCTTGCTTTTAAAGAAAAGAATACCTATCTATCTTGAATAAAAGTCGAGATATTTGGAATGGAAGGAGGTGGGGGTCACCTAGTGTCAGAGGTCAAAGTAGTGAGAAAGTGGCCACCAATGTTTGGTGACTTGAAAGCTTGAGCATCTTTTCAAACTGCAGATGTATATTATATAATATTTCTTGAGTCTTCGATCAGCGTTTTTCAGCAAAATACACACAGAAATGTGTTTTTGAATGGAAATAAGGGGTGCTAAGCAAAATTAATAAAAAAAAAAAAAAACAAGAAAGAAAAAGAAAATGTTTAAAAAGAATTGCTCAACATCCATAAAAATGTCGATTGCTCCGATTTCAATATTTCGATGAGTGCCTGATTTCAACACGATGCCTCACACATAATTTCCCTGTGGGCCTGTATATCCGTCTTAACCTCTCTCCTGCTAAGTCCCCCGCCGCCCTACCGCCGTGTCTCTATTTACAAACCTCCCTCCTCCACCTTCCCTCCTTTCTAAGCTAGAATAACAGTTGAAGTATCTTTTAAACGGACAACCTTCCACCCAAACACTCACCCCAACATTAAATTTGTCAACTGTTTTTTAATTTACAAAAATTACTAAGGTATTGTGGTGCTCATTAAGATTGAATCCGCAAGGAAAGAGAAAGAGAGAAAGGCTTAAAAGAGCTTGGAAGAGGAGCTTGGGTTTTAGAAAATAAACAAAGAGATGGGATACAGCTGGACATTGGGGGAGACTACAGCCCAGGATAGAAGAAAGAGAGCTCTTGTTGGTGGACAATACTCCGGTATGGGATGAGAAAGGATACTGCTGCTGCTGCTGCTACTGATGATGATGATGATGATGATGATGATGATGATGATGATGATGATGATGATG